CTAACATTTGACTGCTCCCTTACCCTATCTTCCAAGTCGCTAAGTCAGTACCACCTTCACGAATCTGTCATTTAGCCCATTCCAAACAGGGCCCAACACCTTGCACCTGCCCTCTGCTGAGGTGCTGTGCCTGCTCTCCCATCTACTCACCCCCTCCATTCTAACGCATCCGTCACCCCCAGATCACCCTGATGTCTGCGTGCGCCACTTCGATTACATCACTTCCCTGCTCAAATATGGTGACTCCTCACTATTTACTGTAACTGCAAGTCTCAGCGTAAAATGCAAGCTCCCCCGCGACCTCACCCAAACACATGTTTCAGACATGGAATCACTCCTCAATGAGCAATTCTCAAACTCTTTATCTCAGACCACTTTATACCCGTAACCATTACTGAAAAGCCCGCACATTGTTGTTTTCCTACATCTATGTTTACTGCATTATAAATTGAAAAGAAAATTAAAATTCTTTAGTTCTTCTTTTAAAACTCATTATATGTAACAAATATTGTTATGAAAATAATTGCATTTTCTAAAAAAAAGAAAATTAGTGAGAAAAGCAGAACCGCTTTACATTTTTGCAAATCTCTTCACTATTTACCTTAATAGAAGATAGCCAGATTCTCACATCTGCTTCTGCATTCAATCGCTTGCAGGGCATTGTTTTGGTTAAAATATAGGAATAAAATCTGGCTCAAATAGATACGTAGCTAGAAAATGGAAGACTATTCAGATAGCTTCAGATATCTTTCTTTGATACTACACCAGCATTTGACAAGTGTGGTTTTTTAAAAAAGCGTAACTACAATGCAGAATTTGGAACCATATCAATGAACTTTCTGTACTCTGTTATGTGAAAATCTACTGGTCTGCAGTACACAATGAATGAATTTTTTACACTTTATATGATTTTGTAACATCACAAAAATCACTGGTCTTTTACAAAACACTGGTCCACTGAGTTACACTGATCTTCCAAATACTGATACATTTCATTATACAAACACATTTGTCATCACTGCAAATATCATCAGAGAAGCACTGGGAAGCTGTCAAACTCACGCTGGCAGATATGTCCTGTAAAATTCTAATTTTTGCATGAAAACTCGATTTTCACCATTGGCAATAAATATTGTCAGTTCTTTTCCCCTGAAGTGATATACTCCTAGTACTCAACGTAGTGCCAACCACTTGACAGATGCACAATAATTTACTAAATGAATGAATAAACGAAGAATATGTGAACAATATCTCTACAAATGTAAGAGCACATAAAAGAAACATAAAGGGAAAAAAGCAAACTGATGCCCCTCCTCACTTTGTTTTACTGAGAAAATATGGCCCTAATATAAAAAATGCATGCCAGATTTATAAAACCTGTTACACTCAGTTTCCATTAAAAAAATGACATAGTTCCTTTCTTGACTGTATTTATTTTTCTACTTAATGTATTCTTATATGAATTTTAAAATCATTAGATATTAATTATCTAATTAGTGGTATAATGTTTAGATTTTAAATGCTATTATAAAATAATAAATTTATATTGGTATAAGATGCTGTAAGTCCATTGAGCTAAATAGTTTAATAATTATACCAAAGATAAAATGAAATCAATCCATTTAAAAAATCTGAAAGAAAAAATGTGATACCATTTCTTATTTTATAAAAATACTGAATATATTTATTCAAGAAATGTGAAATTATAAGAACTAAAAATCAATTTGTCATTTCTAAGAATAATTTCCTGTCAGCCATTAGATATTTATATGCTCAGATGAAAGACAGAAAATATCACCACATGAAACGTGTAGCATTTTTATTAAACAAATCTTTGGAAATTTACTATATTTATGTGGTCTATATAAGGACTTTCAGTTGCCAAAAAGTTCTTTAAATCTATTATGCACCCCTGATATATAATACATTATACTAAGACAGAAAGATTGTCATTGACACAAAAGAAAAATTGAAAAGTCAAAATTTCCCTTCTTGATAAAAAAAATTATTTCTCACAGAATTTTATTAATAATTTTGATTAATTCTGTTAACTTAATCAACAATTGTAGTGTCACATTAAGCTAGTAGTGGATCTCAAATTTTTAATGAAGATTCCTGAATCCAATTTTTGATTTCTTCATTTCTCATCTATAATATGAACAAAGTTTCTGAGAAGATGCTTAGAGTTCATTTATGTATTTATTTGTTCTAGGTGCTGGAGACACAGTAGTGGACCAAAAGAAAAAAAATAAAAGACAAGGTCTCTAGCTTAAATTCCAGTATTACACTAGATTTCAAGTGTCCCCTAAAATTTGGAGAAGGCTTCTGAATATTTCCTTAAAGCACACAAAGAGGAGGAGGCAATGTGACCACAGAAGCAGAGACTGGAGTGATGTGCCACACGCCCAGGAATGTCTGGGGACACCAGAAGCTGGAGGAGGCAAGGATGGATTCTCCTTTAAAGCCTCTGGAAAAAGTATGACCCTGCTGACACCTTGATCTCTAACTCCTGGCCTCGAGAACGATGAGAGAACAAAGGTCTGCTGTGTTAAGCCACCCAGTTTGGAGAATCCTATTTGGGTGATGCGGGCTGGGAGGGGCTGTTCACTAGGGTTCACGGTTTTACTTACTTATAATGACTTCAGATTCTGGACTTCTGCTAACTTTCTTTCCTTACTTAATAATTCATTTCCTATTAACTCAAACAAATCTCGACGTTTTTGAATAAAAATGTTGGCCACAGAAAGACATTCTTGATTTCCCCAGCTATCCGGCTTAATCTTTAATAATAACCTCAGATGGGAGATGGTATGAGTTTAAATTCATACTCACTTTCCATCTAAAACATTTTGATAGAATATTCAAATAGATGATCTTTATTAAGGAATTTATACATTCAACTGAGGGTTATCCAACAAAATTGATAGTGTTCATTTACTACTGTTCACTTAGTTTCAAATTATGTTTTTATTTAATAATCTTCAGTCTAAATTAATCCTCATATACTATAGACCTTACTTAATTAACACTTTACTAAGAATTACATGTGGACATTTCAAGAGCTGAAGTCACAGGAAAGTGCCAAAGCAGAAGCTAGGAAATACTGTCTAAGGACTAAAAATGGACTGACTGAAATGTTTAAATGGCCTTAATCGAGAATATCTAGAGATAGTCTACATTTGTTCGGACATACAAATTTTAAAAAAGATCCTTAGACATAATTCAGCTGTGTTCTCACAAATGAATTATGTCGAGGCATATCTATTTCCATTTTAAGGCTAGGCTGGGTTCTAGAACCTGGGCCTAACTCTACCTTCACGAGAGGTACCACGTTAGACGCACAGTGAAGTACGGACCGGCTGAGGACAGTGCAGAGCAGGCATGCAGCCGCTGGAGCCCAGCCTCGACTGCCACGGGCTACGCTAAACGCAACTTGTGGATTAGCTGAGATGTTATTAAAAGAGATACAGACACAACTCACTGGAAAAGAAATCTAAATAATGTAGCGCTGTTTTCCACAAATCTCATAAAACCATTATCATTTAGAGTTCGATTAGACGAAACACTTAAGCATTTTTTTAAAATATGCAACCTTCCTGGAATAAAATACGAACAAAATAAAAGATGCTCGTTACCGACAGTTGTACTGCAAACTGAAATTCTGATTTGGGTGATAGGTATAGGCAGTATAGCTTTTTAAATTACCAATGGCCACTCATACTTGCTATATAAGACATAAGCTTCAAAATCTAATTACTCCCTCAGGAAGAGGGTGAAAGCA